CGACTTAAACGTATTCCAAAATTTTGCTAAAATATAATACATTTTTCTGTGAAAAAATGTGTATTACGTGTTGCGTTTTGTCATATTATTGTTTCTGATATTTGACAATATTTAAATCAATTATATTTATTACATTTACCTATGATTTAAATGGCCAAAATTTTGTGATTTATTGTTAAAAAAAATTAAGTTGATTAAAAAATGTACTCAGTTGAGAAGAAAAAAGCAATAATAAAAATGTTTTATTCATGTTTTATTATAACATTTGTTATAGTTTTATGTTTAGAAATTATCATATATTATTATTAGGAATAAAGATCACAGTAACAGTATATTGGAATTCATTGAATTGTTGTATAACTTACCTAAACATGGAATTAAATTTTAGTGAATAAGAATATCTTACGTTAAATAAAGATCCGGTAGTGGCAGGAAAAGGTTCGCGCTATTGCCTGAATACAACATTATGCGATTTTTCGTCAACTGAGTACATTTCATTATATTGATCGATTTTTAAACAATATCATTTATTGTTCACAAAGTAATAATGTTCATTAGTAGTAGTATTTAGTAAAATTCATTGTTTATAATTTAATCATAAAATAAAAAAATTGACAATTCAAATTGTCAAACATCTGACATAAATATGATAAAACACAAACGTCCTAATATATATTCTTGCATTACGTGTGGCCTAACTTTTAGGGGTGGCCTGAAAAATGTTTTATATTTTTGCAAAATTTTTAAGTACATTTGAGTCGTAGAACGGTTTTAACATTTGTTTTTAATTCAGATTTTAGTCCCCTACAAATAGTTTTTTATGACTTTTGATCTAAAATAATTAGGGAAGCAGCAATTCAACAATTTAAAATTTCTCATTGAGTTTCCTATGGTCCGTTTGACGATTCACCACCCGGTATGGCTACTTTACTTGAAAACATATATTATACTTTTTAATGCAAATTTGATAGCGCCGGGTTCAGCAGACCCGATATATAAATATATATTTTTGTATATTTTTAAATATTTTCTTTGCATTTACTAATTAACTATCTTATTATAAATATGTTTATGTGAATATTATATTGAATAATATATTATTTTAATATTTTTTGACATTTCTTTACAACCCTACATTTTGATACAAAAAAAAACGTTTATTAATAAAAAAAAATTATTTAACCACTAATGAAACATGAGATATTTATTGAGTTATTGTTTTTTTTTTACACTTAGTGCACCTTTTCTTTGCTCCAGTAGACATATCCTTCAAATTTTCTCGAATTTTAGTATTTGCAACTTCTTGGCGTCTATATCTTACTTGCGGCGGTACATTTTGAGCTGATGATCTTCTTTTTAAGTGCTTGTCTAATAATGACAGAGCCAATAGTTTTTAAAGTCGACGTTTCATACTGGTATCAGGGTTGTTACAATGGTATACATTTACACCTGCTATGTTCATAAAATATTACCAAGGGCAACCTATTTTTATTACGTGCCATATTGTACAATGAACAAAGTTGATCCAGTGTATCAACTCCACCTTATCTCTTATTATAAAATGTGACAGTTTCTGGTTTATATTGATTTCTGTAATTTTCATTAATTATGTCGTTGTGATAGACGTAGACTAGAGACTAACAAAACATTTTTTATTTTGTTTTGGAGCATAAGACACAAGGGTAATATCTTTTTGAAAACCAAACATACTTGATAGAAGAGGTCTAGACTTTATATTCTTAAACTCCAAAGGAATGCCACTTCTATTTTTCCTGATTGTGCCTACATAAGTTAATATATGTGTGTTCAAAATATCATTTATAAGTGGTAACATTGTAAATGAGTTGGCACAATTAATATTTCGCGACATTCCGGAAATTGGTGTTATCAGACGCTCCACAATACTTTTTGAATCATTTCACCGACGTTAACTTCCAGGTTTTTAGTGTAACACATTTTCGAGTCTACTGCGCAAATATGTTAAGGCCGTATTTATTAGGTTTTACGGGACGAAATATATGATTAGTTTGCATGTTAGTGTTTTCAGCAGGGTCTTCTGGTGCAGTTTCAACTACTCCTAATAAATTTTTGTAGAACTGTTGGTGCTGAGGATTGTTGAGGTATGGTATCCTTGATTGGTGGATCTTCTTCTTGTTCGCTGATACTTGGTTTTCGGGTTTTATTATCAATAATTTAATTTTTTTTTCAAATAATTTAGCGTCTCTTGTTCTTTTTTAAAATGTTAGTTTCACGCCATGATTCAAATTCTAAAAATGAATGGGTGGTTTTGATGTTTATAGGATTCTCTTTTTCAACACATATCTTAACTGATTTGCTAACTTGTAGCTTAAGTAGTTGTATTTAACATGTTCTCAGCGGCCTCTTTAATGTTCCAAAAACCAAAGCTATTCATGTCGATGACATCGAAAGGCGGAGTGTATCTTGCGGAAGTAATGACGTTGATCAAATCCTCCGGTATGAATGCTTTCATAATTTTTTTCTGTTTTTCTATTAGGACAGAATCCCTGCCACAAGGCATGAAACTGTGGTCGCTTACCAAAAATCTTTGCTCTATAGAATCGTATACGCCATTAGAAACTAAAAACATTAACAAAAACAAAATTTTTGTTATTATTTTTGTTTTGGCCACCACAGTTGTTGTCGCTACAAATAATGATGTCTTGTTAGTAAAGCCACTATTTAAGAAACCTGGCGGGCACGACGCAATTTCGTTTACGCCACGTTCCGAGAATCCTTCGTGCCACACGAACATGGAGGCATTATTTGTGTTCTCTACATGTATTCCAAAATTGAAACAGGAAAGTTGTGACAAGTAGAACATATCTGAGTGAACTAACGTTGGTATTAACATGACCTGTTCCAGATCCATGGATAAGCAACAAACCTTGCTACCAGGTTGTTGTGAATCTATTGTTTGGGTAGTTCTCTTGCCTTTTCGGCTTTCCTTTGGTGAAGTTCTAGCTCACATTTTGACTCGTGGCTACTACCTTTGTTTATACGAATTTCACAGTACAATATATCAAAATTGTGACATGTATCCATTCGAGGTCGTCGAAAAGACAAAGTTTGAAAACAGATCTATAGAATTTATCTGGATAAATCTTTAGTATCTGGAAATCGCTCTTGATAAGCGAATTGTTTGGGTAGTTCTCTTGCCTTTTCGGCTTTCCTTTGGTGAAGTTCTAGCTCACATTTTGACTCGTGGCTACTACCTTTGTTTATACGAATTTCACAGTACAATATATCAAAATTGTGACATGTATCCATTCGAGGTCGTCGAAAAGACAAAGTTTGAAAACAGATCTATAGAATTTATCTGGATAAATCTTTAGTATCTGGAAATCGCTCTTGATAAGCGAATTGTTTGGGTAGTTCTCTTGCCTTTTCGGCTTTCCTTTGGTGAAGTTCTAGCTCACATTTTGACTCGTGGCTACTACCTTTGTTTATACGAATTTCACAGTACAATATATCAAAATTGTGACATGTATCCATTCGAGGTCGTCGAAAAGACAAAGTTTGAAAACAGATCTATAGAATTTATCTGGATAAATCTTTAGTATCTGGAAATTGCTCTTGATAAGCGAATTGTTTAGGTAGTTCTCTTGCCTTTTCGGCTTTCCTTTGGTGAAGTTCTAGCTCACATTTTGACTCGTGGCTACTACCTTTGTTTATACGAATTTCACAGTACAATATATCAAAATTGTGACATGTATCCATTCGAGGTCGTCGAAAAGACAAAGTTTGAAAACAGATCTATAGAATTTATCTGGATAAATCTTTAGTATCTGGAAATCGCTCTTGATAAGCTTTGAACAGTTTATTAATATTGAAGTCCGGGCTTAGGTATTCTTTACTGGACAACCCTCGTATAATGACAGCATCGCGGGGTATTTAATTAATGTGATCTTTGATAGCACAGCGATCATCTTCAGAATATAGCGATTTTTTATGAGACGTCCTATTATCTGAGAAAGAAGTTTCGCCAGTTTCAGCCAAGGTATTCATGAATGTATTCTTACACACTTGAGCAAAGGCTCCATCTTCATTGGGTAGGGTTTAGCATACTGTTGTTTGACGTCTACTATCTTCCGGAACCTCATATGTGCATACGTTGTCGGCGCTTCCTAACCCACAAGAGCTGTATAAGACCCATCCGATAAGTACCTTGAGTTTTGGTGTTCTCTCGGTGAAGCTTTTGAAAGGTGGATTTTTTCCAACAAAAACTGATAAGTGACCAATTAAATTTGCGCTTACAAATCACCTAAAAATAAAAAATATATAAAGTTAGACATAGTGAAACACGATAGGTTATGTTGCAAGTCTCCTGTGTTGGCAACTGTTTTGCTGCTATATCTTTACATTTTCTAGTTTTATATATGCTTCGCCAGTCTCCTTAAGTTGTGTTTGTTCCTTGTCAATGCTGCCAGTACCATTACTTTTTCGGGTTTTCCAAATTTAGTATTTGGAAAGACATCTAGCGCTATTGTTAGGACGTAGAGCATGGCACATACAATCTTTCTATGGTAATAACTTAAAATCGGCACTTTGCACCTTTGAAACTTCCACTCTTCAATTTTGAAATGCCTTTTGTGACAAACTTGTTAAAATTTAGTTGTCTTCTCAATTTTCGTGTGGGTTCTACAACTTCGGCTTCTATGATCCATACTATTGAGTTACGTAGTCAACTACCGATCTTATTGTTTTACAAAATCCTCCAATCACAGTAAAACTGCGATAGCACATATTTCACTGTTAGCTATCTCGCAAATCAATGCAGATATGGTCGAATATTTCCGTGATTCCTCCAGTTTCTTGCTGACCCCTGTAACTACCTAGTATGCGTGTGATAAATATAAAAATCGGCGTTGTGGTGACCAAATTTTAAAACAATGCTTTTTGTAAAGAAGCCTCGTGATATTTTTAATTTTTAGAAGATATACCTGGACAGTTTAGTTTCTTTTTATGGTTATTTGTTTCAGGTCACCATTTGCAGGAGATAAGGATTATATCGATAATAAAACAAATCTTTTGCAATTAGGGTTCGAAATGGCTACAAGCGCGCATAGAGGAATATTTTCCGAAAAACCTGTATGTACTATTAGAAAAAATTGTGAAAAACTAGCTAAAATTGCAGACCATATTATACAGGTAAGTGAACAATATCAACAATCATAATATTTTATTATAATAACCGTATATCGTTTAGAAATTGCAGATTTGTAATGTCGGTCCGTTAATATTTATTTTACCTGTTTAGTTCTTAACCCTTAACCGACGTCGTGGAGTCCCTCGGACTCCGCAGTTCAAACCATATTTCACGCTTCATATTTTCCCCACTATTGATCCAAACAAGTGGTGTCGTACAGTACATTCAGTTAGTAGGGAGATCTCCGTTATGCTTGTGCGATCGCGATAAGTTGCGTAGAAGTTATCGAATAGAACACATGAGAGTCCGAGGGACTCTACGACGTAGTTTGTGATAGTTTTTATTTCAATGGCCGTTTCTAAAAGTAAAAAAAGTGTGTATCCAGACGATGCTAATTTTAAAGAAATTGTTGGACGATGGCACGAAGAGGCCGATAGTGATTTTTCCGACCAAGATGGCGGCAGCACGCTAAACAGTAAACACGAAGAACTAATTTTGAGTGACCATAGTTCTGAGAGCGAATTTTATGCTAGCGATACCAACGATGGTCAATCGGACGAAAGTCATGAGTCTAGTGAAGATTCAATGAATGAAGTGGATCCAAACAGACGATACTTTTATGGAAAAAATGGGTACAAATAGGCATCAGTTGAACCTACTCCCAATGTTAGAACACCTGCTTCTAATTTATTGAGATTTCCTACTATCAAAGGATCTTTGACACAGATGGAATTAAAATTTTTTCTAAAGATGTTGTTGACATTGTTGTATATTACACAAATGTCAAACTGAGAGAATATCGCGACAAGGACGGAAATCACAACCGTATAGAATTTAGAGACACCAGTAATACAGAGATCAATTGATTTTTGGGCCTTCTGTTATTGACATCAGTCTTCAAGTCTAACCATGAAGACATCAACGCACTACGCATTAACGAAATATTTAGAATGGCATTCTCAGCACGTAGATTTGCTGTACTGCTAATATGCCTTCGATTTGATACACGAGAAGTGCGAATCGTGCTAAAACTGATCCAGCTGCCGCAATTTCCCACATTTTAAAGATATTCGACCAAAATTCTTAAGTACTAGGTGCTAATACTACAGTCGATGAAATGCTAGTCTGTTTTCGAGGGCGATGTAGGTTTAAAATGTATATATCTAGTAAACCCGAAAAGTATGGAATAAAGATTCAATGTTTAGCAGATGCTCGCACCCACTATGTATACAACACACACACACACACACACACACACACACACACACACACACACACACACACACAAACACACACACACACACACATATATATATATATATATATATATATATATATATATATATATATATATATATATTCTGGATCTTGCAAGCCGATCTTTGGCAGTAATAGAAATGTTACAGGCGACAACTGGTACACATCAGTGGAACTTGTAGATGTTTTATTAAATAATAATTTAACGTATGTTGGCACTATGAAAAGGAATAGGAGAGAGATTCCTAAAGAGTTCCTACCATCTAGATTAAGATCTGTAAACTCAACTTTAAACGGATTTACAAAAATTATAATGTCTCGAGTGCCAAAGAAAAATAGGGCTGTGATTTTAATATCCTCGCTGCATCACACGAAAGAAGAGGATATCGAAACTGGGTTACCGGAAATAAATGCCTTTTATAACAATACAAAAGCAGGCGTACATTCGGTAGACGAAAAATGCACAAAATACTCGTGTAATCGAAGAACAAAAGACGGAACAAAATATAATACAAGATTAGAGTTTCTGAAGATTTTGGCACATCAACTATATGAACCACTTCTTCGAGAACGAGACATTAATCAACGTCTTCCAAAAGAACTAAGACTCAGCATTCAAAAGGTGCTAAGAATAAATCCAACCGAAAATGATGATCATACAGATACTTTACCCAGGAACGCTAGAAAGTACCGCTATTTATGTAACCCAAAATTGAAAAGGAAGACAGAACACAGAAAAGTTTTTTGTGTATACAGTGTAAACAATTGATCTGTTTGCACTATAGTAAAAAAATGTGTAGTGAATGTGTAAATAAGCGTGAAGAAATGTGATTTTTCCAACTGGCCAATTTTCAGAACTTGCACAACTTTTTTTAGAATAACTTTTTGTCTGAAAAATATTATTTTAGTATTCAATATAGTTTTAAAAACGTGTTTTTGAAAAATTTGTTTTTTTGCACTGGAGTTTCTCTCCTTTTTATAGATCGGGGATACTATACTTTTCTTCCAGTCGTCGGGTATTTTTTTCTTCTTGGCATAATATGTCTTTGATAACCGCGTGGATGTGACTTGCTAGGTGGTCGCCACCTACCTTATACAATCCTGCTGTTATTTAGTGAACTTCGGGGCTTTACTGTTGTTCTGGGCTTTAATAGCTTCGAGAACTTCCTCTATGGTTGGAGCTTTTACTCCATTCTCTACTTCAATCTCTTCTACGTAGTTCGTACCCATTTCATCTTCCTAGTCTACTTGTGTACCAAGTAGGGTCTGAAAATAATGCTTCCAAGTTTCTCTGACTTTCTGTTGGTCACTTATTATAATCTAAAACAAGTAGAACAAATAATTATTTGTCCACCTTCATCTTTACATAGACTTGTTTGAGGCTTATACCCACTTTTTATCTTTTTAAATACTCGTAAGCCCCTCTAATTTCGTTGTTTTTGAAATATTCTTCCATTTTTTCTATTTGTCCATTTTCCTACGCTCTTTTTTTATTTCTAAATATCTTGTCTGCTTTCCGTCTTGCAACTTGTTATATACATTTTGTGTGCTTCATTTCTTTCCTCTATTGCTTGTCTGCACTCGTCATCGAACCATGCTCCTCTTCTCGCCTTTTTCTTGTTTCATACGGTGGACGCCGCCACTATCCGTACTGCTGTTTTGATATTACTCCATTTGCCCTTTATGTAGTGTAGTTCGAGCTCCTTTGTTACTTCTTCTTCGAACTTTTCTTTACATTCCTGAATCTTCAAATTTTTCAAGTCTAGTTTGTTTTTTGTTATCTTTCGTTTCTTTCTTTGTTAACTCTGCATCTAAATTTGGTTTGGAGTAAAAGATGGTCTGATCCATAGCATGCTCCTCGTCGTGTTTTCACATCTGAGATATTACTGGTTGTCCTTTTGTCTATCAGCACATGGTCGATTTGATTGATTGTGGTTCCATCTGGTGAAATCCATGCCATTTTGTGTATGTCTTTATGTTGGAAGCAATTGGAACTTTTTACTTGTGGCAAAATTTATCAAAAACTCTTCATTCTTGGTTGATTCATTGTGCAGTGGGTGTTTTCCTGTTGTGCCATAGAACTGCGGCTCCTTGTCTATTTTAGCATTTATATCACCCATTATAATCTTGATGTCATTTTTGGGCGTATTGTCATATACTATCTCCAGCTGTTGGTAGAAGCTTTCCTTTGTATGTTGTTTTTCATCTTTTGTTGGGCAGTGAATGTTTATCATTATTAGGTTGAAGAAGTGGGTGCATATTCTTAACTTGCAGATCCTTTCACTACTGCATGGAAGTCTATGATTTTTGACTTAAAATCATTATCCACCACAAATGCAACTCCACATTCCTTGTTCCGTCCCAGTATATGGTATTGTGTGCGTTTTAGTGTCCCTGACACCTTTTCCCAGCCATCTTGTCTCTTAAAGAGCAGTAATCACGAACTTAAATCTTTTTAGTTATTGCCGAAGTGCGGTTTGAGCTCCTGGTTTATTTATTGTCCTCACATTCCAGTTTCCAAATATATAGTCCATGTTTCGTAGCTTAAGTCGTTTCCGAAAGTTTCGTCCTGTATCCCGAGGCAAATGCTCAGGTTTCGTAACAGTGTTTTTTTAAGGAGGTGGGTTGTCAGCCCACTGCCCAACTTTCCTCCTTTACCCGGGCTTAGGACCGGCAGTGGTGACTCCTGAGCTATTCGAATCACTAAATTGTCACCACAAACTGCGATGGTTATATAACTTTACCTCTTTTATATTTTTGGGAAGTCTAAATTTTTATATTACGTGTATTTACATTTTTTGCCTTTAAGTCGATTGATCTAAATATTTTTGTTATTTAAAATCAATAAATAATAATAAAATAAAACCATAAAAATCAATCCAGGTGTGTAATATTATTCAAAAATTCATAAAACATGTCATCATTTGAATATTTTTTGATCTCCTTTGTGGGACCAGTAACTTTCTTATAATAATAAATTATCATAAAAATCGAGAGGTCATTAAAGCTTTCATCTTATCGCTATACTCGTAGATGAAATAAATTAGAGGTCGAACTAGAACCTGGGAAAATATTTCGAATTAAATATGGATTTTTAATAATCTTGGAAGTAATATGTTGGTCCGATATTAGTTGTGGTTTTATAACGCTCGTGTTAGTTTCTATACTATTTACGGTAAACTTAATAATAAGGTAATCCTAATAATTACAATATTGTTCTGCAGCTATTTTCTTGTGGCATTTAAAAGTAATCTCCACTTCGGAGATCGTTCTTAAAATACAAACATTAATAAAGTAAACAAATTATAATTTGTTTAATAGCACTAAAAGTACTTTTGATAAGGAATAATTTGAATATTACCTTAAAACAATAGACCAGGGTCGATTATTTTTGAAACCAAATAAAAAAATTATAGTAGAATAAAACCTATTCGAAAAAGAAGAGAATATGCTAATATTGGAAGAAACAATAAATAATACTCCCTCCGAGGTCGGGAAGTGGGGGGTGGGGGGTTAAGGGTAAAAAATCGGTTTATCGCGATTTTCGGCGAAACTACAAGTGCTATGGAAAAAAGTTAAATAGCAAAGTTGTAGGTAACAAAAAGAAAAAAATTTTTTTTTACCAAATTCGGTGAAAACTTGCCTTAGTATGTATCAAATACACTGTAATTTTGTGGAATTGAAAAATTAATTTTTTTACCTGATATTGATTTATTATCAAAAAAGCACCCTAATTTTCAATCGAAAATTCACGCGTCAAAATATCAGCTTTTTTAAAAAAGTCGGTGGGCTTTTTGTTCGTTGAAATCTCTACTTTTCGATAGTGTAAAAAAATATACATTACTATGGGAAATGTTCACAAAAAAACGAAGAAAACTCGAATCGAACAATTTTTTTTTTCATCATTATGTACAATTTTGAGATATTTCTTATAATTAATACTGTAATTAGTCATGTAACTTAAGGCTTATCCTCGAAAATTGTAACGGTAAAATTCAGAGGGATATCTATTTCAAAAATATCTTTCTTTACGAAAACAAAATCCATTCACGAAGAATATTCTAAACGTCATCTTGTACTAGAGGTTAGCTTTATACCTACCTTATACAACCCCCTATGGTTAAAAGTCTTGGGTCTATACAATAAAGCGGGCGGCGCCGGCGTTCTATTCAGTGCGGTTTTGGGGTAATTAGAATAATACAAGTATACCAGAGTAATATTATTTATTGAATAATTAATTCACAACTTAGCAAGAGTACATACAGGTAACAAATAATTGTCCTGTAAATCATAACAATCAAATCGAAGACAAACTTTTAGAAAATTTTATTACAAAATAATGTATAACAAGATATTTTGAGGTCACAGTTTTATTTCTTATATTTTCCTTTGTTCCTTTTTTTACTGACAAATTTTTCTACAAAATGAAAAATGTTGAGATGTGGCGAATAAAAACATTCATGAAATTAAAATGAAAGGATTTACGTCTATTAGTGGTGCGATTTATAAAATTAGTAGGTACTCGAAGCCCAAATCGCGGGAGGAATATGTGCATCAGTTTTCAAATATTTATTATTTACTATATAATTTCTAAATTGAACCACTTTCACTTCTTTAGGTAACAATGTATCTGTTTTGACAACTAAATAGGTAATTAGACAAAATAATGAGTATTATTAATTTCAAAAAAGAAGTTTAAAGAATTAGAAGGAGGTAGTCCGGGCCCAGTTGAACGGTCAAGCTTATTCCAGTGGATGCAATAAGGAGGATTATTTTTCTTTTTGGCTCAGCTGACATGCTCTCTCTAGCACTAGAACCCATGAAACTGTGGTAAAAAGCATGCTTTATTTATACGGTTGTGAAACACCGATTTTATGATACATTGATAAACAAAAAAAAAATATAAATCCACAAAACATTAAGATTGCAAAAATACATGTGAAAATAGCTGTTAAAAATATTCAATATAGTATTTAAAGGGAATTTCATCAAAAAAATGTTACTGCTATACGATTTTTTTTAATAATTAAAAAGCTGGTTTATTAATGTTTAATTCCATTTTTGTCATGGGCAATCTTACAATATATATTTATGATGTATATATTTATCATAATATTTTTTAGGGCGTTAATTTTTGCCTCTTTGATAGCATTCCTTCGTTGTCTTCTGATTTTAGAAGATCTTCGAAATCTTCAAGACCATCACCGTCTTGATCTCCAATATTGTTTTGTCTGCGTTACTTCCTCATCCACAATTTCATCAGAATCATTATCATTAATTTCTTCGTAGGCTTTTTCCTCCACATTAGAGCATTTTTCCGAGCCGTGACAACTTGAACATAAATTTGTGCATTTGAAACAATGTTTTCGGCAACCAAATTTTAAATTGTTACATCCAGTTTCACAGCTGCAGCAAATAGTTTTGAGCACTATTTCCGGGATCAATTCCTTTTATGTAAATTTGGGCATAATGCCTCGTTGATGTGGTTTCCAGCCCCAATCTGTTGCTGTCAGTTCGTTGCCAGCCATGTTTGAAGCTGATGATATGCCCTGTAACAATGTTGTTCTGCTGCACCTTCTGTGGGTGGGAGATTTGCCAATACGAAAGATGGTTTGATTTTTGCAAATTGATAGTTTGTAAGTCGTAATTGATTCAGCATTAGCTTATCATTTTTGCACTTATAAATAGATTTAGCATATTCTCTTCTTTTTCCAATAGGTTTTATTCTACTATATTTTTTTTTGACTTTTTACTTTTTTTAAAGGCTTCGACACTGGTCTACAATATTTCATTGATTCTTATACTAAGTGCATATGTGTTTGTATACATTTAAATTTCTAATGTAAGTAAATAAACCAAAATATCTCATTAGTATTTCAATTACATCACTAATATCTCATGTGAGATTAGATTGTGTCAATGGGTCTTTATTTACAAACAATTTAAAAACAGTTTGCAATAATTTGTTTAAATAGTGAATAGCACATTTATTTTAATATTCTGAAATACATAAAATACTGTCAATAGAATGATTCAATGTTTACTTTAGAAGTGTCAAAGATAATTTTAATGGTAATGAAGGTTGCACGATAATTTGTTTGCTAATTTTAAATATATATACCAGGCGTTGCGTTTGCCGCAGGATCAGAACAACTACTTATAATTGTCACAAGGAGCCCTTAAACCAATGGATTTGGGTCCGTATGAAACGGAAGCAGTCTTAAGATCACTCATATCTTAATATTACCTTAATAAAAGTTATCTTTTTCGCAAAGTTTCATTGTATAGCAAAGGTCAAAAATCTGTGCTGATCTTCATGAGCACCGTCCTAAATAATTCTGCACAATGAGTTTTGCTCTTTCATTAGGTCCTAAGTACTCAAAGTTTTCTTCTTGTTCTTTTTTCTTTTATTGCCTTCCCTTTTCTTCCTGATTTTAATTTTGTGATTTATTTCCTGTCTTCATAATACTTCCTCATTTGGTATTCTTTCCATCCATGGCATTCATAAGATTTTTCTTCTTCTTCCTCTTTGTAAACAATTCTGTTTGTTAAACATTATTTATAAAAAATGCGAAGAACAAGCATCATGGACGTAGTTTGGATTCCGCGATTCCTTAGGCACCCGAGAAGCTCTATTCACTGTCCAAGTGCTTATGCAAAGATGCAGGGATGTTAACTGTGATGTATATACTTGTTTTATCGATTACAAAAAGGCATTTGATAGAGTAAAGCATGATAAACTTATAAACATCTTTAAAGAAGTGGGGTTAGATGATAGGGACTTGAGAATCATCTATAATTTATATTACAACCAAACAGCCAATATTAAAGTGGATGACCAATTGACAGAGGCAGTCTCCATATGTAGAGGATTGAGTGAGGCAAGGATGCATTCTGTCCCCGATGTTATTTAATATATACTCTGAATATATATTCGATCAAGCGCTAAGAGAACTACAAGAAGGCGTATTAGTCAACGGAATGCGTCTAAACAACATTAGATATGCCGACGACGCAGTAGTTTTTGCAGATACTCTGGACGGTTTGCAAAGAATAATGTCGCGTATATCAGATATAAGTAAAAAATATGGACTTGATCTTAATACGAAGAAAACAAAGTACATGCTAGTCAGTAAGCGCGAAATATTAAATATACAGCTTTTGGTTAAGCAATATCCGATTGACAGAGTGGACAGCTACACATACCTTGGTACCAACAATATCAGCCAATGGGATCACTCCAGTGAAATAAGATAACGCATAGGAAAAGCGAGATCAGCGTTCATAATGATGAAGTCTCTTTTCAGAAGTCACGATTTACCACTTGCTACAAAAATCGCTCTCATTAGATGCTATGTATTTTCTAAAGAGAGGACCAGGGAGAAGAAGAATATCTTGGTTTCAAAACCTGAGAAAGTGGTTTAATACATCGACAACCGGACTATTCAGAATAGCAGCAAGCAAAGTTAGGATAGCCATGTTGATCGCCAACATCCGGAACGCATAGGCACCGTAAGAAGAAGAATACATTATTTATATCAACTGTCACATAAATCTAAATACATACGCTAATGACCCTGCGTGGTCGATTCGATATTAAATGAAACAAGTATTATTTTGATACTTAACTGGATCAGGATTGTGGATTAAACAAATATTAGACAATTGTAAATTGTTTATGTAAAGTTCTATAATTATTTAAAAGCCACCCGTTCTTCTGAGTTAGCTTAGAGTGGTTTGAATAATGCACTTTACATCGATTTACACAATTTAAAGTAAAGATGTCTTGTTATACTCCCTTAGCCACTTAACATTGAAAAAAATTTACCTCAGATAATCTTACAACTTGTTTTAAGATATAATTTATATATTTAAATAAAATATAATTATCAAATATAGCCGCAACCTTTCCATGATATAATTAAGATTATGAAATCATCTTATCAAAGTCGTTAATGTAAGACGTACTCGAAACTCCTCATTTTCAGGAAATCGTCGATCCGATGATATTACAACCTGCTTCCTTAGATTTAGCTACATTAAAAAAGAAAGAACAAGAGCTAGGATTTTTTATCTTGCCGAATTACCAGTCGATACATCAAATAGCAGAAATCAAACATGGTTCCCCAGCACACGGCAGTTCTAAAATTGAAGAGGGTGACGAAATCGTGCAGGTGAGTATTTTTGAATGATTTAAATTGTGTAATGTTATAAATGAAGCAAGCAATCCTCGTTATAGGCACTATGCTTCTTCAAGGTATGAGGTCTCTTTCGTAGTTTGATTCAGTAAACTTCAGCTGTTTGTGTGTTGTATTTGCTTCAGCAGCAAGTCCGCCGCTAAATTACAAGCTCCTTGGATAACAAACGATTCCTTCCAGAATTTTTTTGTAGCAACGCCAAAACTAGCAAACAAAGCAGCGACTGATTCAGAGTGAACGGCTGTAAACAGGAATTAATCCAAAGTGGACGACTATATTAAAATTCACTACTCCACCTGAAAAGCGTGGCGTTTTCATTGTCAAACCCTCTTGACTATTTTAAATTCACAAAAATATTTGGTTCTAAACCTATTTCTTCGCAAAAATTACCAACAAGAACCTCATCTAACTCAGTAAGTTTCTGGGAACCATTGTTTTTTGGAATAATTGTTTAAAATTTTTGAAAAATATCTTTTCCAGTGTTACCTTTGAGATTTTGACAAGCTGATCTAATTTCTTTTATTAAGGCCATGCTTTCTACCAAGGACAACTTGATAATTCTAATTGAGTAATAGTTTTTTGAAGCAAACTAAAATTTGATTTAATAAACGAAAGTTGCTGCTGAAGAACGTTGTTTTTTTTTAAATTTGTTTAGCATCTAGTAAAGAACTTTCTTCCGTTAAAGCGTCAATTATATTTTTTAAATCTACGAAATAGTTTAAATTGAAAAAGTGGCTTACAACCATGTTTCCCATCGTGTTAGAATAGGTTCTGGTGGAAGTGGAGTATTTGGAAGCGCTTCTTTATAAAGTTGAATTCTTGTAGGAGATTTGAGGAACACTTTTTTATGCTTGATAGCACGGCGTTTGCTAAAGGAAAATTTTTCTAATTTCTTCCGCAACTCTGTTTATTCCATATGCTAAACAAGTAACCTGTATTAAATTGGTATAAAATATTTTTAAATTTTGTCCTCCCTTGATCATATATGGTGCAGAATCGGATAAAAAAAGCAATAGGGTATAGCTAGGAACAGCTTCAAGAAGAAAAAAAATTGATATATTTCTTCTTGTAAAAAACGTGATATGTTGCAGAGTTTGTTTTTCTAATTTCTTTCATGACATTAAGTAGGATTTTCGTAGGATCTAATATCTAGTATGCAAGAACGAAAAAAATGTATAAAAAGGGTGCATTTTCCAAGCCAAGAGGCTAGCCTTGCTTCGGCTCCCATATAGGATCTCCTATACCTGGGAGCTCCCTTCACAGGGCTCTATTTCCCACCCGTCCTTAGACTCTTGCTAGAACCTTTCTGTTACCAAATTGTGTATTTTTTATTGTAAGAAATTACCTAACCCACCAAATTAGGACAGAAACGAAGAGGAAACTTTGATTGAGCTGGTCGAAGCCCTTAGGGAGCTGATATGAGTCAATTCTTTGTGAAGACTCTAACCTCCCTATGGTGACAATAAAAAAAATAATTTTCATTCTATAGAAGTAACTGATGTATCAAAGAAAAAATCATTTTTGCTTCACATTATTCCTGTTATTATTTTTGTAGTTTGTTGAGAATGTTTTCGTTTTGTTACATAGGTGAACTACCAGACTGTAGTCGGCTGGCAAAGGAAGAAAGTGATGATGCTACTACAAGAATCGCCACCGGAGATAGTGTTAACGTTGAAGAAACGACCAAGACATACGAAGGTCTACGGTCAGATATATATGAAACCATATCGCTTACCAAGTAGGAAAAGAAACGGCCAAAACTGGTCTACGAGATGGAACGAGAACATCCCGTCTCCCAGGCTGCTTCCTATTATCAATTTACCACCCATTACTATATCCAAGTAAGTATACGTGCTCATTATTTCCCCATTGACCGTTCAAGAAATATGATTTAGAATAGTCTTTAGCCCAACTTTTATAGCTCTAACTGCCAGAACTGAATACTTCAGTGTTTCATTAATACAATTTCTTTGCTTTATTACAGAAGTGAAGATGAAGCTGAAGTTGCCGATGCTGAAACAGAATTGAGCAGTAGTGATAGCGAACCTCCAGACAGTCCGCTGGATTCCAGTTGCCGTATGTATCCTTTGAAGCCTAGGCCTATTTTACAGCGACGAAACACCATATCGGGTGGTACACCGACGAATAAAAGAGCTCATCCGTCCATTGAACAGGTTAGTAGATTTGAATTATTAATATTTTTCTATATAATGACGATAATAAAGAGTAGTATACAGATACAATTGGTAAATATATTATCAGGTACTGCTGCTAATACATATGCAACATAAAATACACAAACATATAATTTACGGTAAACACACATTATACAAACAAATAAAACGCACAAAACAGTCAGAATTTGATATTCCGAGTATAAAAACCATCGAGTTAGAATCTATGGAGAAGCTGTGAGCATATTAACGTATGTATTAAAAACGGCGTAGGTAGGTGTGGCTAACGATAATACCAGTATGGCGGTGACATCAGGGCCAGACTCAATAATATTAAAACTACTTTACAAATATGACTAGTTATTCAGAAGATTTAATCATAATCTAAAAAAGTGCAATACATTTTTAATAAACTATGATTTATTTATCCCGCGGTAAACACTAAAAACACGATATATTATACATAAAGATAAATTAATACAGTCAAATACTATTAATTTATTCTCTGAAGTACGGGCCATTACTTTGTTTACATATTTGTATACTAACCTGGGGAACGATATTCCTGAAGATTTTTTTATTAACATTGCTTCTGCTACAGCAACTACGTTGAGAACAAGAAACCATTATTATGCACTATCACAATATATTACAGTTTCTATAAAAGTATTATAAAACTGAAAATATTCGAAAAACAACAAATGTAAACAAACATATATACGATCTGTCAAAAGTTTCAAAACAATAATACTAATATGGCCGAAGTTAGGTCGTTTTTAGTCACGTGATGCCCTCTCCATAGATTCTGACTCGATGATAAAAACACTGCTCATTTTTTATTAATCAAAAGAAGGCTATTGTCTACAACAGTGTGGTCCAACCTTTTAGACGTTGCGGGTCGTATTAAATTTGAAATTATTATGAAGGGCCAGAGAACCCGACTCGTTCAAAAAAAGTTTATTTTAAAAAATAATATACAAACGAAATATTATTTACAAGTATTTTATTATGGTTTACAATTATTTACATGTTATGTTTAAAATTTCACATAAAATAAAAAATCAAAGGGATATTTGAGGCAAGGGTTTATCCTCTACTAACGTTTGAACATCTATATCTATGCTAGTCGTAGTGAGTCTAATACAGGCTTCCAGATAATCGTTTTCCATGCGATTACTTATTTTAGATGTAATATGCTTCAAAGCAGAAAATGTACTTTCACATATATACGTCCTACCAGACATTGGATATAGTTTCAACGCAAAGTTACGAAGTTTAGGAAAACGATCCTTGGAGACTAACTTCCAAAAGGTACTAATGTCTTAATTTTTCTATGCTTGAAAAAACGAATCGGGCTGTAGTTCGCACAGCTCTAATTGCCCTGCTGATTCGTTCTGGACCGTTCTTGTTGGATTCGTTCTTGTTGACTCCCATTGGATTGTTAAAACGCTCAAGATCGGGTTTGAGTGCATCAAATTCCGAAAACCTTTTGCAAACCTCGAGAAATCGACCATTGTTTCTCCTCGTTGTATTTCGAAACACGAAGGAAAATGTGTGAGGTCATTTATTTTCATGCAGTCAACTATACTATCTTATTTTTTCCCTGGAGTTGTAGGTTTAATGTATTCAAGTGAGAGGTAATGTCTGTTAGAAATGCCAGTTCATGAAGAAATGTTTTTTTCTTAAGCTTTGTTATTAATATGTCCGTGTTAATAACAATTTCCGTTTCAAAAAACAGGAAGATCTCTTTTCTTAAAAAAATTTCTAAGGCATTTACCTGCATTCAAACAGCGTATCTCTGAATGTAGGGGGACGTCCATATATTCAGTTTTAAATTCCTCCAAGAAAGAGATGAATTTTAAGTCTCGCTGAGCTCTGTTTCCCCCTCTTAAGCTGTTTACTATCTGCACGACAGTTTTCATAGTATCGCTGATTTTAATTATCTTTCCGCAGAGAGCCTCTTGATGGATAATGCAATGAAACATAACACAGTTAATGAAACAGAATATGGACACCTGCAGAGAAGAATAAAAAAGAAGATCAAATTAGTCAAAGAAAAATGGATGAGAGAAAGGTGCGAGGAAATAGAGGATATTGTTCTGAAGCTATTTTCTTGTGGCATTGTAAATTAATTATTATTAAACTGGGAATAAGCCACCATTTATTTATTTAATAATTCAATTTACTGTTTGTATTTTGAGAACGATTTCCGAAGTGGAAATTGAAACGTCAATAAACGTATTTTTATCTTTAATTGTGGCTTATTCCCAGTTTAATAATAATTGAAATAGAGGATGTAATATTTAAACACGATTGGTTTAATGTGCACAAAAAACTAAATGAAATGAGTAACATATTTACGAGTTCCCTCTGTACTCGTTGACAATAATAACAAAACTATTGTAGATGAGCACGAAATAAAAGAATGGCAGCTGCATATATCAGAGTTGTTTGAAGATGACAGGAATAATATTACCGAATTCTACCAAAACTATACTGACAGCCCAGAAATTATGAAATGCGAGGTAGAACACGCTATAAATAATGCTAAAATTAGACAAAATTGTGGTCCAGATGATAACATAAAAGTAGTAGTAAGACTACTAGTAGACTAGTAATATTATTCAATATATAACACCGGAGTAATTCCCACAGATTGGCTCAAATCCATCTTTGTCGCAATACCTAAAAAACACAATGCGAGAAAATGCTCAGAATATCGATTTAGCCTAATGAGCCACACTCTTGAAATTCTCCTAAGAATACTTCACAACAGAATTAGACGTAAATGCGAAGAAGATCTCAAAGATACCCAATTTGGTTTTAGAAATGCTATGGAAACCAGGGAAGCACTTTTTGTACTTAACATCCTATTACAAAAATGTTGTGACCAAAGAAAAGATGTATTTGCATGTTTCGTGTACTTCGAAAAGGCATTCGATAAAGTACAGCATATAAAAATAATGCAAATACTGAAAAATATCAGAATATATGACAAGGATATTCGTGTCATTAAAAATTTGTACTGGAGTCAAACTGCTATCGTAAAATGGAGATAACTACACCGATGACATCTCCATACAAGGAGGAGTCAGAGAAGGTTGCATTTTGTCGCCATTGTTCAATGTTTACTCGGACCAGTTATTTAAAAAGGCACTTTTGAGAGACAACCATATCGAATAAAAATCAACGGGGAACTACTTAAGAGGCTACATCAGCGCGTCATCAATATTAATTCGAGAAATGGTGGCCGCACCGTCTTTCAAAGTTCTGCGAATCTTTGGCAACAGTGCGTCGGCAGTACGTGACATTATTAAAGACGAAGGCACAATATTGTGATAATTAGAGTTCGGATCGGATTTAAAAGCATAAAGAAACGCACAAAAAGCTTAAAGATTTTATGAAAATATTTTATTATTTATTTATTATATAAAAAAGCATAAACATAAGCATATAAATTTTAACAAACCTTTTTTACGAAAATTAGTATAAAACATCTTAGCTTAAGAATTAGTAAGTACCTATCATAAATTTAATAATAATATACAGTGTGTTTCAACGAAAATTTGGCCGTCCCAGAAACTCAGAAACCAAGAGTTTGTCAAAATTAAATAATTTACGAAATAACTGAAGATCATTTTTACTAATTTATTGGTTGAACATAAGTATTAACAAAAAACATAAAATTTCATCAAATTAACCAATTTAATGTTAGAAATGACCTCCTGTGAGCTCCATACAATAATACAGTATATTTTCAAAACCCCTTCGTACATTTGCAAATATCTCCGGTCTGAATAATCGGCATTGATCGGCATTCTGTCACAATCCTTTGTTGGAACTCGGCAAGATCTACAGACGGAGTGGCATGTATTTTTGATATTAGGTGAAAGGCAAAAGATACGGTTATTTGGCCGACTACTCTATTGGACCCCTTTTGTCAATCCAAAGCCCTGGAAAACGTTGTTAATTCAAAAATTGTCTTACGCGTATATCATAATGTGGGGATGCCTTGTCCTGTTATGAAGTCATTTTATCATTTACAAGATTATCATCAGGTTCCAATGTGTCAGTGAACAGCGGATCATTAACGTCTTCTAACAAATTTAAATAAGTTGTTCCGTTGAGATTGCCTTAAAAAACTAATAGTCCAATAACGTGATTCCCTAAAATTCCAACCCATACATTTAGTTTCTGAGGTGTTTTTGTATGTGTCTCAATGAATAAATGAGGATTACTGTTACTCAAATAACGACAATTATGTCTATTGTCTTCACCATTTAACATAAAAGTACACTCGTCGGAAAAACAGGTACAATCGATGTTTGTGTTTTTATGATTTCACTAAATTCTTCACAAATTTGACGTCGATGATCAGGATCATCTTCGTTTAATTGATGAAGTAATTGTATTTTATAAGGATAAAATTTATAATATTTTATAATTCGATAAACACTAGATGCTCGTGGACCAGATGCACGAGGTAGTTGTCTGATAGACTTTCGATTATCCATTTGCCAATGACCCAATACTGCCACTTCAACTGCTTCATTTCGCACTAGACGGTCTACTTTATGCTTTGTGTTATTAACGTCACCTAACGCTTCAAACTTTTTTCTTTTAAACGTTTTCAGTTTAATGTATTGGTGACTTACGTTTTTTCTGGATTTGGAAATTTTTCCCATTTTCAAAAATATTTATATTTCTAGAATAAAAAATCCTCTCAAGACTATATACTCGCATTAGAATCTGAAATATTTTTACTTTTAAAAATATTTCAGATAATAGACTTTTAAAACCCACAATTAATAATAATCTATTTTTTTCAAATAGTTCGACAACTCAGTTCTATTACCCAAATATAATAAATTAATTTTAAACAAACACTACTTCACTATGAATCAAAACTCGAATTTCAATATCTTGAAAATGATACACTACTGCATGAACAAATATCGATACAGATAACAGAGCAGAATCGTCAGAAAACAGACGTAGAA